ATCGCTATTTCCAAAGAACGCAATTGACAATCTCTCTGTCTCTCTCTCTCTCTCTCTCTCTCTCTCTCTCTCTCTCTTTTTCTTTATTTCTTTTTCTTTCCCTCTTTCTCTCTCTGTGTCTTTTTTTTCTCTCTTTCTCTCTCTCCCTCTCTGTCTGTCTGTCTGTCTGTCTGTCTGTCTGTCTGTCTGTCTGTCTGTCTGTCTGTCTGTCTGTCTGTCTGTCTGTCTCTGTCTCTCTCTCTCTCTCCCTCTCTCTCAATCTCTTTTGATTTGTTTACCCATTTAGCTTAACCTGTTTGTTAAGAAATAAGAAAGAAAGAGTGAAAGACCGGGAGGCGGGGCGATGAAAGACAGAAAATCAAAATAAATGAAATATAAGAATGAATGAAAATGAAGTTATTATTCACTATTTTACGATGATGCATACAATTGCCTTTAGTATATATATTATTAGTGAAAAATAACGATATAAGGTGATTTTGCGACTGTAGCTGGTAGAATTACTTACGCCAAAAAATGATCATTCAAATTATATATATGATGAAATGAAAACTTCAAATCTTCCGTACGCATGAATTCAATTAAATCTAAAAAAAAAGAAGAAAAAAAAGAGTATATTCAAAATCTGTATCAAGATTTGATTCATATGCTGTAAACAGGAACTTTCATTGAAACGCATCGTAAACAGCTTTTATTCAGAGATTATACAAACAACTCAATGAAGATTAAGAAATCAATATCCATCAAGTATATGTTGTGAGATCATAAACTCACAAACATAAACGAAAATGTAATTTCAAAGTTTTTTTTAAGAGTGAGACTGTTTTTTAGGGAAGGAATCTGTGAGAACTTTAACTGATATTCATATAGCTATTCAGTTCGAGAATTCATTGATTTTTACTTGAATATACTTACCTTGGATTACTACCTTTATTAGAATTCTCGTATTCAATCTACACTTGCTCGTCTACCTATATTATTTTTATTATTTTCCTTATTCCTTTTCCGTGTTTGTTTGTTTTTTCTCCGTCTCAGTCTTTTTTTTTACATCTTTCTTTTCCATTCTTATTATTTTTTTTTTTCTTTTTTCATTAATTCTCTTTCTGTTTTTTTTTCTTTTTCTTTTTTATTTTATTTTTATTCCTAACATTCCTTCTTTCTGTGTGTTTTTTTTTATCCTGCATTTCTTTACATTGTTCTTTCTTACTCTATTCAACTCCCTCCCCGCCCACCCCCCTCTCTCTGTCTCTCTCTCTCTTTCTCTCTCTCTTTCTATCTCTTCCCACCCCCCTCTCTTTCTTTCTCCCATCCCCCCTCTCTATATCTCTCTCTCCTTCTCATTAAATCCTTCCTACCGTCTACCTGCGGGAGAAAAAGAGTGAGAGATAGAAAGACAGAAAAAAACAGAGATTAGAGAGGCAAGAAAAAAAACAAGAACACGAACACGCACCATCCGGGTAAGTTAATAGTGTAGTCTGATAGCGTGACTGGGCAGCTACGTTCACGGTTAATGGTGCCTCTGTAGGAAAAGGATGGAGAGCAGCAGATGGAGAGAGAGAGAGAGAGAGAGAGAGAGAGAGAGAGAGAGAGAGAGAGAGAGAGAGAGAGAGAGAGAGAGAGAGAGAGAGAGAGAGAGAGAGAGAGAGAGATTGAGAGGGAGAGAGAGAGAGAGAGAGAGATAGATAGAGAGAGAGAGAAGAGAGAGAGAGAAGAGAGAGAGAGAGAGTGAGAGAGAGAGAGAGAGAGAGAGAGAGAGAGAGAGAGAGAGAGAGAGAGAGAGAGAGAGAGAGAGATAAGTAGATAGATATATATTTATATATGTATGTATATATAGAGAGATAGAGATTGGGAGATAGTGGGTGCATGGGTAAGAGAGAGGAAAAGACGAGCAATGAAACAGAGATTTAACAGACAGACGGACACACAGACAACATAATAGAGAGACAAGGACGCTGAGCACCATATTTCACACACTGTCCCCTTCATGCTTCATATGATTGACGCTAATAGCGTGCTAGACATTACGGGATAGAAAACTTTCAAAATTGCTGCCGTACGGGTCGGGGAAGACGGAAGGAAAAGGAATGGGGGAGGGAGATTTTTAGACATATATGACAAGGGATGCTAAAAAACACTGACGTTTATGGCCATAGTTCTTATTTTACTATTTTTTTTCTTTTACTAAAGAATAAAAAAGGAAGAAAAAAGTATATGAGCTTCCGAGTATATATATATATATATATATATATATATATATATATATATATATATATATATATATATATATATATATATAAAGAGAGAGAGAGAGAGAGAGAGAGAGAGAGAGAGAGAGAGAGAGAGAGAGAGAGAGAGAGAGAGACAGAGAGACAGAGAGAGAGACAGAAAGAGAGAGAGAGAGAGAGACAGAGAGCGAGAGAGAGAGAGAGAGAGAGAGAGAGAGAGAGAGAGAGAGAGAGAGAGAGAGAGAGAGAGAGAGAGAGAGAGAGAGAGAGAGAGAGAGAGAGAGAGAGAGAGCGAGCGAGAGCGAGAGCGAGAGAGAGACACACACATAAATATACATATGTATTATATATGTATATATATGTATATATATAAGTACATATATATATGTATATATATATATATATATATATATATATATATATATATATATATATATATATATATATATATATATATATATATATATATATATATATATATACACACACACACACACACTTATATACATATTAAACATCTCCTTACTAACTTTATATATCCTTGGACAGACAGACAGGTTGAGACAGTAACTCAACACTTTCAATAGCAGCAAGTTCATCGATCACTCCAAATACTACTATTTTATTGAAGCATCAAGGGAATAAATAATGGGAGCTCTCCCTTTGAAGTCCTGGCCAGAAATCATAACAGCACAGAAGCAGCACAACATACACATTCTGACAACAATTCAACGGAAAATCGATACTTACGAGGGTGTCCGCCACGCTGTGTGATGTTGGTATCACTTCAGTATTGTACTTAGATTTCGGGATTGGATTTCCGAACTGCAGAACTGATGCAGTCGGAATTTATGCGGGTGTAATGCGCTGTAGGAATATGCCGTTTTTCCCGTACTAATGGTACTTTGAAGTTGGCACTCACGCTGCGGTAGTGGAATAGTGTTTGGCTATGAAAAGCATGTTTAGCAGGATATTTCCGACTGATGTTTACAAACCATGGGATATTTTTCTGTACTTTTTCTGTGTTTTTTTTTTCTCTTTGTGGTTCCTGCCGATTTTTTCTCCTCTTTTTTATTGTGTTAACAGAAATGACGATCAGAAGGATAACATATATGTGTCAATGAAAATAAAATGCTTTGACTGCAGAATCTTTGACAAAAGAACATAAAATAGATCACACTGAGTTGATCACATGCATCAATATATTTGCAGTTCATGTGTCAATGTCACGGGCTGTTTTGATTATAGAGTAAGATCGCGTGACCAATGCTAATATTTCCCGGTGAAAAAATTACTTAACGATCTCTGTCTCGTTTTAATCTTTGCATCGTACTGATAACAATATCATGTGCGACTGCATGCATTTGGTATTTTACTATGAATATGTTTCTATATATATATATATTTTTTTTTTTATTGTGTTTAAACGAAGGAACTTATGTATTCGAAAAAATAATTCCTCATTTTGATATTAGAATATGATTTTATCAACTTTGGAAGGTCTTTAAGAGAAATCCTTTGCATGACTGATGATTTTGCAAATAATACCAATTCATTTTTTACAAGTTAAACAAAAGTCAAGTAACGCAAGACCAGTCAAGCAAGAAGGGCATTCTGTTAGGTCACACGCAGACTTAATACTCTTCAAGAACAGTAATGGTCCACGGATTATATTGTAAGCCTGCAAGAACTACCATGACTTTTCCTCCTCAAATATTTGAATAACGACAATGTTCCATCACTGCAACCTTCTGCGATTACTATGCAGGGCCAAAGCAGAAACAGCAATGAAAATAAATCATATCTGGTATCAACATTACTTACTGTCGCATGCTAAACGATTGTAACTACAGGACTGGTATAAGTTACGATGACGTACACTTTTTCGCAGATTTGCAGGTGACGGTGACAATATTGCGAGCATGTTTTTGCAATACTTCGAAAAGATTTTCCCCTGGGGCGTAATTGAACAGGTGTCAAGCAAATGTATTTTTAACAACGATATCGATGTAATAAACCCACTTACACCCGAAGTATATTACGAGAGCTTCGCCAAAACCGACGAAACTAAAAGTAGACCATTTAAAAAACGGGCATGTTGATGGGATACTATTACAAAAATGGATGGTGCAGATATCCCACTAACGACAACTAAAGTGATGACAAATTTCCCGGCCATTTGTTCAACGTTTTGTTTCCTCCCTCTGCAGGCAGTGTTGAACTTTGGTTTATTTGTTGTTGTTATTTATGTGTTATGTCATTGAACTGTTATTTATATATCATTTAATACACGTTATTTATGTGTCAATTTTATTTCATCTGATGTATTTGTTATTCATATGTCATTTGAATCATTTGATATTTATGTATATTTATTCGTGTTTATCGTCTATATCCCATTTAACATACTCTTACACACACACACGTGTGTGTGTGTGTGTGTGTGAGTGTAATAATATGTTAAATGGGATGTAGAAGGTAAATATTAACAAACACACACATATATGTGTATGCGTGCGTGCGTGCGTGCGTGTGTGTGTGTGTGTGTGTGTGTGTGTGTGTGTGTGTGTGTGTGTGTGTGTGTGTGTGTGTGTGTGTGTGTGTGTGTGTGCGTGCGTGCGTGCATGTATGCGTGTGTGTATGTGTGTGTGTATGTATGTGTTTATGTGTGCTTACATCTACCGTGTATGCAAATGTTATTGTTGCTGGCACTGAATCCTTAACCGTTTAGCTTTGATTTAACAATAAGTACAGCGCCCCCCGTCTCCTTTGCAG